GAGGAATAAGATTTTGAAGACAATAATTTCTTCGGTAAAGTGTGTGCAGTTTTTGTTTAAATATATACATATATATCATGCAAAAAGAAAGTGAACATTATTTGGCACGTTAATGAATTCTATAGAAGCTCTATAGAGTTTTAATGAAGATTTCACAGTCAATAATATTTATGAAGGCCATTCTATACATAATCATTGTCATGAAATTATCTTTATGTGGTGTTTGTGTGAACTAATGTTTCATTTTTACTAGATGCCTGCTTGACTTCATATTCCAAGTACAATACGTTCGTTTCTAGTCACCTAGTTCTTATTGGTCTAAATTTCGCCATTGCTGTTATTTCTAGTTTGTACAACAATTCAAATACTCCAAATCATCACGCTTTCCAAACTAACCATCTGCAACAACATTCCTCAGTGATGACGGAAATAAAAAATAACTGTGCAATGCACCAGTTAAAAAGTCATCATAGTAGGTTGCTTTATTCAATATCTTGCTCAAAAGGGAAAATCACGAATATAGGTGATCTATATGAATGACTGTGGTCTAATTGTGAAGCCGCCTAGGTAACATCAGAACCATATCTCTCGGTCGATACTGAATATGGATTACATTTTTTACTGTACCTAGACATTGTGGCTTTTTAATGACCATAAAAAATAAACTTGAATTCATTTCGAATGAATGTTTTACTAAAAACTGGATGGACGAACAGTGTGCGAAGACCTCCTCATGAACCTAACTATGAAATGAAATTAAGAAATATTCGTAAGTCGTATTCATTTACAACGATATCTCGATTGCTGTTAAGATTCTTTGGCACTGTATTTACTTTGCGTACTTGACAGTACAAAATTGAATACCTGAGTATAAACGTTTTGGTAGTTATTATCGCCAGGCTTTTCCGTGATATCTTTCGAAAATGTGAAGATGTATTGCGGTAAAGTGAGACGTTTTGAATTACTTAACCGAAATCGCGCAAAGATCTGCGGTTTTATAAATAAATATAGAAGAATTTTTCAAAAGTGTAATAACCCAAGCTGCCAACTTTGGGGAAATTTTGGGGAAACTATCGAAGTGAAATAGCCTTCCCCAAAGTTTGTGGACATTTTGAGGATTGCGTCTCATTTCCCCTAAATTTACTATAGCGGCTTCACCAAAATGGACCAAATTATCTTCAAAGTTGTCAGCTTGGGAAGATTCCGAGGAAAAATAGGTAAAATATATGGTCATTCACCAAAGTTCAAAGAAAATGTTGGGAGGAACCCAAACCCTTAGGAAAAAAACGCGTAGTCTCCCAAAGTTTGATAAATTATGTGGCTTTTCTTATCTCACAATTTCGTGGAAGCCAACAAACTTTAGTGATTTTCCCGAGATTTCATAAAATTACCCAAAAATTTTCAGATTGTGTTATAAATGAATGCAGAACGACTACAAGAAAGTGCACTAAGATTCTGAGGAAATTTCGTGGTTTCAATACCGTTTCCACAAAATTTTCAATTATGGCTTCCTCAGATTCGAGAGATTGGGATATGGTAACATCGAGGTAACATACCATGTACCTTCTCATAGAATTATGTGAAAGTTTGTGTTGTAAAAAAGACAAAAAATAATTCTTTCAGGAATTGAAAAGAGTCACTTTCCAACGAAACACGATATGTGATATGAATGACTGGGCGACCTTGTTTCTATGACACTGAAATATTAAAACACTAAGGCTACATTGCATTGTGATTACTATTCATCAGCTGAAAATAAAAATGTTCAAAGTTTTCAAGTTTGAATAGTGCTGGTGAATATAAGTATGAGCACAAGATGACATACGATGATGAGTAAACCAAGAATTCTTATATATTGAAAGTCTTCATTGCATTTCACAATACTGTACAAACAATTAAATTCTTATTTATTTTGTATTTTTAGCATTTATCGTTTGTGAACACACATCGCTTGTTACATTACTTTAACATTTTGTTAGTTCAGTGAAAGTCAACAAGCCCAGACAAATAGTGCATCAGTCTTAAACATATCTATGTTAGATCACACATCACCATTCTCCCAATATTCTAGCAAACATCGTCATAATAAAATGTGACTGACAAAAATTTCTTAATTTCATTTCATAGTTAGGTTCATGAGGAGGTCTTCGCACACTGTTCGTCCATCCAGTTTTTAGTAAAACATTCATTCGAAATGAATTCAAGTTTATTTTTTATGGTCATTAAAAAGCCACAATGTCTAGGTACAGTAAAAAATGTAATCCATATTCAGTATCGACCGAGAGATATGGTTCTGATGTTACCTAGGCGGCTTCACAATTAGACCACAGTCATTCATATAGATCACCTATATTCGTGATTTTCCCTTTTGAGCAAGATATTGAATAAAGCAACCTACTATGATGACTTTTTAACTGGTGCATTGCACAGTTATTTTTTATTTCCGTCATCACTGAGGAATGTTGTTGCAGATGGTTAGTTTGGAAAGCGTGATGATTTGGAGTATTTGAATTGTTGTACAAACTAGAAATAACAGCAATGGCGAAATTTAGACCAATAAGAACTAGGTGACTAGAAACGAACGTATTGTACTTGGAATATGAAGTCAAGCAGGCATCTAGTAAAAATGAAACATTAGTTCACACAAACACCACATAAAGATAATTTCATGACAATGATTATGTATAGAATGGCCTTCATAAATATTATTGACTGTGAAATCTTCATTAAAACTCTATAGAGCTTCTATAGAATTCATTAACGTGCCAAATAATGTTCACTTTCTTTTTGCATGATATATATGTATATATTTAAACAAAAACTGCACACACTTTACCGAAGAAATTATTGTCTTCAAAATCTTATTCCTCTACACCTTTAAATTCACAATCTGGAGTACCTATCTAGGTATCCGACTGTCTATATAGAGTATTTCTTTAGAAAACTAAAAAAAGAATAGTGTGAATACTCAAACTCGGAGCGTGTTGAATTAAAATTAAAGCGCATAAAACATTGTGGGTTACTTGTTGCTACAAACCTTTCACATTTCAACTCGCTTTAAAAATGTTCGTAATATTTAGCTATAAGATACGCTCCAGATACACTCTACTGCAGTTTGAAAATCTCTGAATCAGTCTCAGCTTGGGAGAGACAGTAAACTAGGTGGCCTGTCTTCGTCCTGGCAGTGATGATCGCTCAGTTGATTCAACTTTCTTTTGAAAGCGTAGACAGATCGAGCTTCAATCACGTGTTGATTTAATGCATACCATTCGTTGATGATTCGATGGAGAAGTCGATAGTCGGCTGACAAGTAATCTGTTCTGGGATTGTGAACGCTTTAGAGTGTCCTCGTAAGTTTTCTGTTCCGAAAGACAGGAAGAGTAAGGGCATATCAGGTGCAAATTTACCACTAAGTAATCTAAAATCTGTGGTCGAGTCACCTCTAGTTCTTTTATATGACAATGGAAATAGGTTCAGTTTGGCCAGTCGGGCATTATACAGGAGCTTTACCATCCCGAGAATTAGCTTAGTTGCGGTTCTCCGAACCCTTTCCGACAACTCACTGCCTCATTTTGGCAGGAGCTAGCCACTTGTATGCAATACTGGAGTTTAGGACGAACGAGTACTGTATACGAAATCAAAAGTGTTTTGGCATCGACATGACTAAAGGCCTTACATATTGACCATAGGGTTCTAAAACCTCTGTCGGCTATCCCACAGCAGTGTGCGGTAGTTTGAAGTCTTTGAAGCCTCCCGATACTAAGATTTCGTCTCGTCAGTACCCAGTAACCTAATTCTCTCCCACATTTTTCGCCTCTTACGGAGAAGGGTGCTAACCTCTTTACTGAATCACGGTGGGGAGTTTGTCAGACCCCTTGGTGTAGCCGTCTCAACGATGGGCTCTGGTTCTATTGACCAATCTACTAAGGAAGCTGAATGTGTAATATCTTGCATGTTTGCTTTCTAGACGTTCGGTCTTGCTTGGGCTGACACATTCTCATTGCCGACAACTATATGGAAATCAAAGACTAGAACTGTATGGTCACTTTTGCCTAGAGGTGGCGTATAATAAAGGATTGCGACATTATCTTCATAGTGAGCCATTACGAGATCTAGTAAGGATGATTCGGAGTCCGGGTGGCACCTAGTTACCACTCTCACATGTTGCATTAGGGTACATTCGATAACCACATCAACAAGTTACTGTTCGACAGAATTTTCAAAAAATTGAGTCCTCTGATTTTTCCAGCCTAGCGTAGGTGCATTTAGATCTCCTAAGAGTAAACCTCGACTACTTGATGACCAGGTGTCGAGACCATCTAGCAAGACTCGATTCACCTCGCAGTTTGGACTGCGGTAGACCAAACAAATCAGCAGCTCTTTTTGCGTATTTCAAGCGGCGACCAATCAATTCTGACGTTCCGCTTTTGTGGGATACGTTATCGATGACGATAAATGTAATGGCATTTCTAATGAATAGAGCAACTTCTTCTTCTTTACGCTTCTGTATTCTTACGGTTCTTACAAACGTGAAGCGTCCAGAATCAAGTGCTTTACTGTCCACAAACTGCGTCTACGGAGCTTTTCTTACTGCATTAACTACCCGCACTCTGATTCTGTTTCTACAAATTACTACAAAATTTTTTTCAATCTTCGGTCTATTCTATAAAACGTCGGACAGTAATCTAAATGTCTTGCGATGTACGGAAAGTGACTTTGGTTTCTTTATGTGATGAATTCACACTAAGCGAAAAGTTACGTTTTTTAAACCTTTTCGTCTGTATCTTTCACATTTTTTAATTAATTGTATTCATTATTTACGCACATCCCTGACATTTTCCCCACCACATTAGGTCACGAAACGTGAGAAAATCGGCTTATTTTGCAATGGTGACCGAAGAAAAGAGATATATATTTTATATGTTTTCAAAGCAATTATTGGAACACTAAATTTGCCGGCTATTTGAAAGTTTTTACTGCTCACGTTACTTATATTTCAAATGTCTGATTTTGACCCAGTTTCTGACTTTCTTGCTCGTGAACAGGAGGCTCTTGGGGATTTAGGTGATGATTTAAAGCTTAACGAAGATATTTCAAGTTAGTTGTCCACAATTTTGTTACATTTTGCTTCGTCATCTATATTCAGACAGCTTGAACTGCTAGCTTTGTTAATAACACTGTTTCATCTCTCAACCATTGTATGTGCCTATCCACATATGTTTCTCTCAAGTCGGTCCTTTACTACTTTAGAGCCTCATACGTAATAAAACGTTTGACCAGAAAATAATTTTCGATGGAAAGTAAACCCTGGTGTAAATTTCGAGACATTGATCCATAGGGAGAGGTTAAGACACAACTTTCTACTGTTTTCTTTTGGCAGGGTATGACGCAGCGGTTTCTCGCGCGCTCTGCCTTTTCTCATTCCGATTTGTCCTCGAAATTGTCGCCTTTATTTCTTTTGTTTGGGATTCGAATAAACATCGATTCTAAAGCAGCGAAATTGGAAGGAGATCCACTCCACATCCTAAGTTTTTCACTCCTGAATTCTGAAATATTGCATGGAAAAGGACAATGAAAGCAAAGCATTTGGATGATTCTGAACTACTCTTTGAAATGCGCGATAACGGTGTTTGGTTACGAGACGATTTTTTATGTAAGGTGATAAGATTATGATCGATAAATAGTTTAACATAAATAATAAACTCTCGTTCATGAATTTACGGATATTTTTTATCACACGCATAAAAATTGACATGCAATACTTGTTTCTAGCTATGTGGATGGATGAATTTCACACTAAAACCTAATTAGTCATTTCGAAAATATTAATTTTGCTGAAAAAGCAACAGTTGTTTTAAGTGATCTTGATGATAACTCACATGCTTGCGATACCGTCGGGTGTGAGATAACTACTTAATAATCCGTTTTTTCGTTAGGACTTTTACCTTACTCTAATATTGATTCTTTTAAATTCGAGAGTAATCATTCATTCTCTGTGTAGATACAATTACATTCACAACAATGTCCTTGTCTGTCGTTTGCTTAGAAAAATAATGGAATCTGTCCACTACTTGCTCAGTAATCTTTTTTATTCATAAGGATATGTTGACCGATATTTCGGTTATTTCGCAAAATTTTCTGGCTTCCAAAATTTCTTAATTTTCTAACAATTACACTGGTCTCTTTCGAATAAACAGTCGAGGAATGTTTACGTTAAGCAAATTCAATCCTTTTAGGAGACTTGGTGCTGTCTGATATACTGTTATTACGTTCAAAAGATTGGTCTAATGCATCTTTCGTAATGATAAAGGTGTGATCCGCATACCATAACTAGGTTTAAGTCAGGAGATCACATTTTAGGATTATGTTTATTTTCCGTGTGTACTTAAGTATTATTCAAAACAGTTGGGGAAGCTGAAAATCTCAGCTGCATTTGTTTACTTGTATAAACTTCATAATTTAAGTAGTGAGGTGCCCTCAAATGCCCTGGTACGGCCGAGAGTGGGGAGAGTCCGCACTATCCTCTCGAAATGCTCTCACATGGCCACGCGTATATAGCCTCTGCCAGGGAAGTCCTACTCACTGCCTTCTCGTGGCGGTGTTGTTGTTTACAAAAATGTGAGGACGAAAAGCGAATGTCCGGCGCTTTAACCGGATTCCAAACCAATGGTGCACATGGGCTCCAATATCCTGCGGGAACAAATGGCGTATGAACCAATTGTTGGTCACCGGCTTCCATGGGACTGCATCTCCTTACGATGCTCCACTGCCTTGTGGATCAGACCTTCAGGTCGGAGGCTCGGGGAGTGGCCACCTAAGCAAACCACGTGCTTCGGTTTGGGCACCCGGGCAGTATCACAGTCTTCACACTATCGAATGAGATTTGTGTGGCGCATATGTATTTGGTGCCTCCTTGTACCAATATTTATGTGTTAAAATAAGTAAATAAATAAATAGTGAGGTGTAAATATATGACGTTTTAGTAATCATAAGGTGTCAAATTCTAAATGCCTTATATGTAACAGTCTTGATAGATGTAACAGCAAGCAAGGAACAAAAATTATAACGTGTTCTTAAATCCATGTGAATTGGATTGATGTTTTGAATTAATTTTGATTCCAAGTTTCAAATTGTAGGGTTTAAGAATCCCAGCTTAATGTTTCGCTAGATAATACGTTGGTGTTTGTTCTGCTAACGGCTAGTGCGTTTTCGGTAGTCCATAGAATCTTCAAGAATTAAGTTAAATTAATGCATGTGCTAGGTACTTGGCTGCGAACTACTTTAAGTTTGAGAGCTTATGATACCATCCATTTACATAATCTAAAGTAGGTAGATTGGTATTCAAACGTGGGACTGGAATTCGGACGCTTGAAACACAAGACCACCGCTTCAAAGTCTAACCCACAAGCACTCGAGCTGTTTAAGGTAAGGTAATATTTTAATTGTATTGGACTGCACGAAGTCACTGACGTGACCTAAAACATGCTGAGAAATATAGGTCTGTTTTTGTTTTATAGATGTAAGTGGGTAGGAACATGACTTACGCTTGTTACCCTTCATGAAGCATGATTCTCTAACCGGCTATGTCCTGGGCAATTCTTTCCAGTTGCTATTCATCCTTTTGATATGTGCTCCCAATTCTCGGCGCGGTGTATTCCTTGACCTTCCTCTTTCCCGTTTATTTTCAGGATTTCCTCGTGGTGCAGTTTAATAATTTACACAGTGTCCTATCCATTTCCAATGTCTTTTCTTAATTTCCTCAGCTGGCAGTTGGTTTGTTCTCTCCCACATTAGGCCGTTTCTGATGGCATCAGGCCAACGGACATTCAGCATATTAGGCAATTGTTTATTTGTCCGTTTTTGATTATGGCTGTGGTAATTCTCCAAGTTACAGTTCCATACACGAGAACTGTCTCGACGTTCGTACTGGTATGATATGACGAGAGTATAAGTTAGCTGTTTAGTTCACATCCCTATCGCATCATGTTCCTGAAAAACTAAATGCCTGTGTATTAGAAGCACGGGAATTTAAAGTTTTAACTATCGATATTTATTGCTAGTTTCAGTTATTTTTTATGTCACTATGCACTGTAGATACTTTCGTAGGTATCGGTCGTTATAAGTATACGGCTTAATATTTTAAAAATTCCTTTATCTAAAATGAATTCTTAGTGATTTTTATACTATGAGCTCCGTCACTTTTTAATACAAATTAAACTTCCCAAAATTTACTTCACACTTGATTCGTTTTGATGAATAATCCTGAGTAACCACCTTTAAATTTCATATGAGGCCAAAAATACATAACACAACGTTGATAGCTATTTTCTGTAGGTAGTCCGGTTATGATCTACAATATTAATAGCATATTATGGTAAAATTTGTAGTTGGAGTACTTTATGTCACCTTTAAAAAGGCCATTTTGTTGCCACGGATAATATCAATTGATGAGCAGATTTTAGACAGTAAAAATTAAATAAAATGCTTATCAATAGATGAAATACAACGGTACGAAGTTTGGTTGAGTGATAATTGTTCACGAGATCAAATTGTTGTCTCAAAACTCGTTATAAAATAATATTCAACAAGACAGCTAGTCAAAATAATTGGTTTTTTATTGTACATAGTAATATGATACTCGTGCATAAATTATTAATACAAAATAAACATAATTAAATGTGTCGCTCAGTTTCTTGGATTAGTTGAAGTTAGACATTAACAACGTTGGATGCTTGCTCAGTGGACTAGTGGTTAAGCGCTCGCGCGCGAGACTGATAGGTCCTGTGTTCGAACCTCTCGAGGCGGGATCGTGGATACGCACTTCTGAGGAGTCCCACAATAGGACGAAACGGCCGTCCAGTGCTTCCGTGTTTTCCATGGTGGTCTAGCTTAAATTAATTCATGATCTCAACTATTGAAATTACTATAATATCCGCATAACCCTTCTGATACAATTAAATGTCATAAAAAACAGAAGGAAATCGGTTTTTTGTTTAGATACAGAGTACTAGTATGGCGAATCAGTGAATTTTTATCGACTGATGTGGTTAGGACATGTATTACGTAAGCCCATCCGTCAACTACCTCTATGCGTTATGGTGGCTTATGTAAAGTAGGTCGTGAAAATTCAATGGCGTCCAAACCAAGAAATGGCATCAGTCGGAAGACACTAACTAATGGAATGAACCACGTAAGTAGGTTCAGACTACGTGGTTGGTGTCCGTGTGATAATGTTAACTAACGATTAGGGACTTCAGTAACCTGGTTTATAATCATTTGTAATTGCTTAGGTGCATTCACCCTTTGTCGTCACTCAGATTTTAAGTTTTTAAATTTCTCATCAAATTTTTTCGTTATTTCTCTAGTTTATATATTCTCAGGTTGTATCTTAAATGTCTAATCTTTTAAATTACCATCGAAACTGTTACTTCGTGTACTACTTGGGGATCAGCCCTGATAATTTCATCTTGGTGGGCTAATGAGGTATGGAAACTCGAACAGATATAAACATGTTTATATCCTACGTTCGTATGACTAACTGACTGACTACGCTTCAATGGCTTAAAACCTAACTGCTCTGGATTTATTTTTCCCATCATATTAATATTTCAAATTTTTATCATGACATTTTAACATGTCTGCTACATTGAGCAGAGTGTATAGTTTGCCCACACTTTCGATGTTTTATAAACTAATTAGTCGGTTCTCTCATCATATCTTAATTTGAGAGCTTTCTCACTGAATAATTTAGATACCGAGGTCTCTGATCCCAGTTATGTGTTTCTTAATGGACAATCTACAATGAATGGCTCTAATTTTGGACACAATTTGGCTGAACCTGATTGTAGAGCTAACAATTCTGTTCATGATTTCAACACAATTGTATCATCCGACAGTAATGTTGGTGGAACTGAGTCTTGGCGGGAGGAATTCGAGAAAAGAATTAAGGCTAAAGATGCTGAAGAAGAAAAAAAATGTGCTGAGTTGATGGAAACAGGAAAAAAGGTAATTTTTCAGATAATCGGCTTTTTTCGATAATCTGTTACATTGTGTTCTGTCCATTTTCTTTGGGTCTTAATGATATCTGATTTTCTTTTGACATTATTGAGTGGCTTGTATACATCAACGACAGAAAAGTGGGCCTTTTTCATTGTAGTTTCTACACGAATACCGATTACTGTTCAACTTGATAAATTTGGCTGAGTTGACTACCAGCTTTGTGGATTAGATCTGCCTGTTGCAATGAAACATACCCCAAATACCCTGGTACGACCGAGGGTAGGGAAAGTCAGCTCTCCCTCTCGAACAGCTCTCAAGTGGCCACGTGCATACCACCACTGCCAGGGAAGTCTTACTCACTGCATTCTCGTGGCGGGGGTGTTGTTTACGAAATTGAGTGGACGAAAGGCGAATGTCCGGAGCCTTAACCGGGTTGGTGGATATGGAGGATCCACCTAGGGAAGTTGAAAAACCCTGATTCCAAACCAATGGTACACATGGGCTCCAGGATCCTAAAGAAACTAATCGCGTATGAACCAATCGTTGATCACCGGCTACCGTTGGACTGCATCTCCTAACGTTGCTCCACTGCCTTTTGGATCAGACCTTTAGGTCAAAGGCTCTGTGTGTGGCTCCCTAAGAAAAGCACCTGCTTCAGTTTGGGCACCCGGTTAGTACCCCAGCCCTCACATAAATCGAATGATTTATGTGGCGCATATCTGTTTGGTCCTTTCTTGTACCAACGTTTATGCGTTTAAATAAATAAGTCCCAGATGCATCCTAATGATTAAAACTGTAGTATATCAAACCAGTACCAACCACTAGTGGTCATGAATGGCCTACGTTAGGCACTTCTGAATATGATTAGTTAAGGATTATCATTAAATGCGAAGACCGTTCTAAGATTTGTGTAGTCGAACCGCTATTCTAATAGTTCACGCTACTTTGTCCTTTCATTATCCTTCGTACATAAAAGGCAGTTGACAGTTGATTCTATAAATTTGCATTGGGTTATCACGTTTTCGCACGTTTTGGACTCGTACTACACATAGGCCTAATCATTTCCTTGTTTTCACTTGAGAAATAAAAAGCAAAGCTGAAGACATTTGATTTAAATCATATTCTAAAACACCATCAAAACAGGTAGTCAAATGTTTTTGCATTGGTTCATAATGAATGTTCATGTTTTTTTCATCTGGGTAGTTATTGGTATATTTTTTAAATTATTACAATTGTGTGCTTAGTGCTCAAATGTTTGCATAATTGTTAGTGCATTTTCGTATCGTGGTCAGTTTGCAAGAACTAAAGCACTAGTCTAGTGGAATCGTTAATTCATATTCGGTTACGAAAATAGGTTTTCATAAGTTAATTATCGTGTAATCAAAGCTTTCAAATGTTTTGTTACTTCTGTTTTGATTTCAGTATATATATATTGCTATTGTTCAATAATTCACCAGTCTGTTGCTAAATTTTAATCTGATTTTTAAGGGAATCCATCTCACTTATCGTTTATTGCTTTTACAATATTTCATTTGAAATATATTCATAGGAGTTAAATCATTGGTACAAAGAATATCACCAAAGATTAGAAACAAAATCCCGTGAATTGCGTGAGAAAAAACATGATTCAAATGGTCATTTCATGAATGGTGATGGTAGCAAACCATCTGTGAAAGATACAGCCGTTTGGGAGAGTATTTGCAATTTATGTGATTTTCAAGTATGCGTTTAAGATATCATTTTATTCGATTACCTAACCTGTTAAAAAAATTGTTAATTTCTTTTCATTGAAGATAAATTAGAACTTTCATGGTTAGAAAAAATACACATTAATTAAAAGCGTTGGTTACACAAGACTCGACGTGTAATCACTGGATTTTAATTGTTTGAATCCTGCTCTATTTATTTTAGTCAGAGCAACCCCAGTTGTGTTATAGCTTAAAGCCCTTGGTACTTAGTCTCGGATTATATCCGTAATTTTACTTAATTCAGCATCTGGTCAAAATGATCAGTAAAAAAAACGATTAAAAAATACCCGTCAAATAGCAGTATGAGTTTGTTTGTTTTTTAATTATGAAATACGTAAATCTCAAGGCAAGAAAGTAATTAGTACTTAGGTGTTTCCGTGTTTTAGATATATTAAGTAACTTGGCATTAAGTTGTTCTCTTATTTAATTTCATCTTAAGTCCTCGTTAACTAAATTGAACACAGTTTAAATTTCTTAACTGGATTCTATTTTCATTCATTTATTTAAATATGTACTTATAATATATCACTGTCAGATGCGGAAATATTCATGGTCTTGTTTGTACGCGTAAGTGGAACGTCGACCCAATAAATCACTTTATTATAAATTATACAATCTACAGAGTTTTATGTATAAGGCTGTACATGATGGGAAACCGGAGGTACATGAATAAACCTTAAGTAATTTTCTATGGTCCTGGAGTTTTGTTTATTTGTTCACTTATTTAATTGTTGAAACTATGAAGCATTACAACCGCCTAATTAGCGACATACAATTCTAGTTGGCATTCGAATTGTTCAATGGAAGACCAATGTCTGAAAGACGAAGATATGAGGCCATTCCATAAATTCTCTAATTTGTATTCATTATCCTTTGCTATCTTTAACTATTATAACGATATGGTACTATGTACTTTAATTCTAGTGAGTTAGAACAGTTGTCTCTTAAGTATCGTTTACGACTGATTCGTAGACAGTTGCTATTTTAATGACACAACGCCTCAGGAAAATTGTTATTGAGCTTGTTCTATTAATGATCTGTTGAAAAGTGAAATCTATTTCGTCAACTTCAAACAAACAGCATATGTACAGTTATAAATATCTAAATTTTCATTTTCCTCTTCCCATAAGGTTTAGGTATTCTGCGTATTTCGTCTCAGAGTACTTTAGAGATATGTCTAGCTAACAACTGAAATCCTTGTAATGTTAAGATGTGAAAGTGTGTTCTGTATAGTGATTTACTTCCAGCAATCTTCTAAGTTCCCTTAAGAATTGTACTTTGTTAAATCCAATTTACTTACTGTTAGTATTCAAAACAGCGCTTACAGACCTTTTCGTAGATGTCACCCCACCAACAATCGAAGAAATCATCATGGCCACCAGGACCAGGTAAAATACCAGCTGAATCACTGAAGTCAGACAAGGATTCTCAGCATTCTATTCAGGAAGATTTGAGAGGAAGAACAATTGCCGACAGACTGAAAAGAAAGATACCTCATCAAAATATCAAAGAAAGGAGATCTGAACAAATGTGAGAACTACAGAGGCATCACACTACTATCAGTACTAGGAAAGGTTTTCAACAAAATGTTGCTGAACCGGATAAATGACTCAGTAGACGCCCAACTTCGAGATCAACAGGTTGGATTCTGTAAGGATCGGTCGTGCACAGACCGATTCGCTACACTGCGGATCATTGTTGAGCAATCAATTAAATGGAACTCGTCACTTTACATCAACTTCCTGAACTATGGGAAAGCATTTGACAGTGTGTATAGGATGGCCTTATGGAACCTTGTTCGACACTATTGTGTACCTGAGAAAATCGTCAACATCAAACAGGATTCATACGACGGACTACACTGCAAAGTGGTGCATAGAAGACATTTGACAGATGTATTCCAAATGAAGACTTGTGTCAGACAAGGCTGCTTAATCTCCCGCTTTCTCTCTCTTCTGGTAGTTGACTGGACTATGAAAACCTCCACATCTGAGGGAAAGCACGGAATACAGTGTGCAGTTTAGATGCACCTAGACGATTTGGAATTCGCAAGTGATCTAGTCCTTTCATCCTATACACAGCAACAAGTGCAGATGAAGACAGCCATTGTAGCCTTAACCTCTGCATCAGTACGCCTCAATATACACAACGGAGAAATCAAGATCCTGAAATACAACACAGCGACCACCAACCGAAGCCCAGGACAGTGTAGTTTGGAGATTGCTGGTCGGTGGCCTATTCTCCACAAGGGTTAACAGGGGTAAGTGAGTAAGTAATATCGGTAATTGTTAACAAAAGACACAACGTGGTATACATTGTTTTTTAAATAAGCCTTTTCAATGACTAATTGTGTTAACTAAATATATTGTTTTTTGTCTCTATAATGTGTTCGATGAATGTTTCTTACATTTACAGGGTTTTTTTCCATATTTATTTTCCTCTCCCGTTTTTTTTCATTTTTCAGTCCAAGCAAAAAACTGCAATTGATACGTCAAGAATGCGTAGTATTCTACTCTCTCTTAAACCGAACAACTAATATACGCTATTCATGGAATATCAATGAAAACAATTTGTGCCTATACCCTGTTTTACTGTTTTGTCTTCTTTCAATAATATAAACAAGTGTGATTTCTATTAAATAGAGGAAAAAAGTGCCTTGTTATATGTTGTATAATGTTTGGAATTTATATTTTCTCTCACTTAACTAATTATTGACAATTGGATAATTAATTAATTTCATCTTGGTTTTGTTCATTAAAACATGACAATATATATATATTTCCCCCTCTCTTTTTATCTAAATAAATTTTGATAAAAATGGCTTTGGTCTATTCTAAGTTGATAATAATTCTTTATTAGGCATATACATTACGCTATCAATGTTTGGTTGTGTCAGTTAATTCTCTTTTTTTTGTGTGTGGAACAAATACAAATGAATTTTGGTTTTTACAACATATATTTTTGTAAGCGAATAGTTCTACCATTTATTGGTTCGTTTCTCTGCCTTATATTAACATTCAGAATTATAGGTGTTTGCAATTATGATTTGTGTCAGTGCTTGTTACTATTCTGTCGGTATGTTTGTCTGAAAAAGGCGTGTTTTTGTCTCTGGGTGTGTGAGTGTTGTGCCTTCATATATTTTTTTCTTAACAATTTATACTGTGAATAAATAAATGACTTAATTGATACTTGTTGTTTTTTCTGTCTTTTATCGATAATGTTTTGAAAAGTTATACGTATATGTATGTTTGTATTTGGTGTTTGTGTGTGTGAGTGTTATTGTATTTGTAATTGGTCGGGTATCCTGGACTTCTGTCAATTCTGTAGTCAGGAGTTGTTTAAATTTTATGATTAGGTTTATATACAACAGCTTATATATATAAGTTTACCTACTAAGTACCGGTTTATGTACTCAGCTGTTAATCATATTATATTTGTAGGTGCTAGTGATATTACTCTGCTTCTCAAACCTAAATATGTGCAACGAGATTATATTATGCCACCTACTGGTTGATTTGTCGTTTGCTTTAAACACTATGCCACAATATATCTAACTAATTTATCACTGAGTAGTAATCAATACAATGTCTCATATAATGATCTAATTCTACCCGATTTGTGTTTAAAATATTAGCCACTTGATTAATTGATTCACTGTTACGATGGACATCATTAAAGGTGGTGGGAATTGACTATATGGTCTGAGTCTAGATTTCATAATTTAGTTCACACTTAATATAATAAGGTATATCTGCAATCCTAAGGAAGTCTATGCTCTTGTTAGCGCTCACCTCCATACCAAATTTTTTTTTCATTTGAATACATTTTTTCAGTGAGTCTATATTCAAAATTGTATAGTCGTACACATACACATTCCTCTTAAGTATGTAAACGAATTATTTTTGTAAGAATGTTAGTATAGCGATTTTTTATCATAAATTTATAACAATTTTAACTATCAAAGGCTAAATTTAGTACATTTTACGGAATAGTTAATGTAGTCGGTGCAGGTTTGTTTTTCCAAGTTATGATAGTTAGAGAGATGCTCTCGCATGCAACAAGAAAGTGGAGGCCCTTGTGAACAACATTCACACTTACAATGGTTGCGCTAAAAGTATATGTGCTTTACTTTTCTTAAACATCCCTTCTATTACTAAATAGTTCACTGTTTATTATCAAATCATATATGTTAGTCAACATGGCAAGATTATTACTGAATATTGGTTAAGGAGACAAATTTTTCAGTAAATATAGAACATCAGACTAATCAATGCATTAATTCTTTTAAAAGACCGACACAATTATATTTCAAAACTTTGTTATCTAACACATTCCACAATTTTTCCATCTATTAAGCTGTAGACTCAAACCCCTACCCACTTCTGTTTTGGTATGCAACATTACAACTAATACATGACTAAAAGCCGAGTACATGAATTTGTCAGTTGGTAAATTAATTATGTTTACGCATCTTGTGGTCAATGTCATCGTTATTCTCCTATTCTCAATAGATCATCCACGCATTCGTATAACATAAAAAAATAATTGAATGTAATTGTGAAATAAATATCACCATGATCTACTCACTCTTCTTACTAATGAATAACTCAACTTCTATATATATTATCAAAATCACGAATCAATTCAAGCTAGACAATCATCGGAAAACTATAAGCACTGGAAGGTCGTTTCATCTTAGTATGGGACTTCTTAATCACCTACGGCCACACCATAGGGGGGTCCTAACCCTGGGTCTTCGGTTTCAAGTGCTAATGCTTAACCTGTAGATCGTTGAGTCATAATCTATTGGTGTACAAGTGTAACTTCAATTAATCCAAGATATTGCGTGATAATCTTCTATTGTATTAGGTGAGAATTTTTCTCACACCCGATACAGTTAAACTATACTGATTGCGACTTCTGTCTAAAACTCCAGAAGTCTTTCAAAACTGGTTATTGATGAACACTCAATTGTCTGTATGTGGTTGTGGAGATTATTGAACATATCTAAGTTAGATAATTTTTCGCTTTCAATACAATCTACATAGGATAAGTCATCTTTTTCTAAATAAACATATATATATATATATATATATATATATATATATATATATATATATATATATATATATATATATATATATATATATAAACTAGCTATTGGCCGTTGAATAGTAATTTCTAAAATTTATCACAATAGTAAAAAGTAGAATTTTTATGAAGAAAGCAAAAACTATTACTGATTATACTTGGTTAAAGCAACGTAATACTATGACAGATGTTTTCTATTATACAATTCATTTACTGGAAATTTTTTCATATAGCTTATTTGAAATCTAATTATACTATGAATTATATTCACTGGTACACTTTACTACTGTGTTACATACATATTTAAAATCTAAGTATATCAGTTCATTATTTGCTTTTTCTCTTGTTATATCTAAGCCCTTAATAATTAAGGTCATTCAGCTACAACTGTTAGTTTTTTATAAGCACTTCATAAATATTGAATCTTAATTTTTATGATCGTACAGCTCCATGTACTAATCCTTGAGCTACACTTTTATTTTATGCTTTATTATCGAGACTTAAGCATATCTAACCTGTCTTATATCTGCAACACAACAGTTGAAATTGATAGTCCACGCCGTTTACACACGTTTATTGTCAGTATTATCAGGATAGTAGTCATCATCATAATCAACGTAGGACTTGACACATATGTAGATTGATTCAATTTGCCATAAAACATGTGCACATCGAGATAAAATTATTTCAAGACAAATCCTAGAGCAACAGAATTAGTAACAATATCAGCAGTAGCCAATGAAAGAGTTTTAGAGAGATTTCGGGACTCAGGTTCTAGAGCAAGACTAGGAGTGGATGCACCTCTACGACTGCGAAGGATTATGAACCATGTCACCCAGCGTTCTCGAACCCTTTGTTATGATAATCGCACGAACCTCAACCAAGGAAATCTACATCTATTAACGTGACTCAAAAGTACATTAATAATAACTAAACATGCTTCTCAGTTGTTAAATCACTGAAGCAGAAATCCTTATTTAGAGAAAGGTGAATATAACGGCAAAAGATTATTTTTTAATCCATTTGTCATCATTAAGATTCTACATTAATGATAATGTAGTCAGCACTAATCAAAAGGTAGCATATTATGTAGCAATATTACAAATTCTTAAGTATTTTTAAAAATAGTGCTGATTAAATAGCAATAAATAAATAGTGTAAATGGTTAGGATAACTTTAATACTCAAAGACATTGATTAATAAATGAATTAGAACATACGGTATTGCAGCATCGATAGATTACACAATAATTGCTATGCATTTGATACAAAGTTGAATAATAATGATATCGGTTATGCAAGAATAAAGAGATCGCTATATAAAAATATAAATGATGAGAACGTTGACAAAGGAGGTCGTAATAAGTTTGTAAATCACTTCAGTATCGATTATTTTGATGATCAAGGTAGGGAGGAAGAGTGGTTGTACAAAAATTTTTTATAAACATTTTCCCTCGTGAGTTTTATTAATCATATCATTATCATCAAACATTTTAGCGTATAGTTTTGAGCAAAAACTAATTAGAGCACCAGTTAACATGTGTTTAAGCGATGAGTGATATGTTCTAAGTCTATAGTTGACACTTTATATTTATGAAATATTTGTGGACTTTTAGGAAAAAGTCTAATAGTAACAAGTAAGCTAGATTTGATGTAACTGCTAAGTTTAAGTAACCAAAGTAGGTCCTTTCTATATTAAGTTAGGCCATGTGATATATTATTTTGTAGAAGGTTTCGTTTTCTCAACTGAGTGGTTTAATGGTGAGGTTCCCATTGTTCTTAACAAACTTCAAATAAAAGTGTGCTATTCGAATTTCGCTTATGACTAACAGCTTGCTCTGTTGATCTTAACTGGTTGCTAACTCTTGTTTCGTCATCACCTAATTGTTTATTTTAAATATCTCTTTTGACCCAATTCTTGACCTTATTTTCGTTGACGGACAATAGCAAGACAAAGGTCAACAACTACCAGCTAATATCAAGGTCGACAGAACAAGCTACTAGTCATCTTTAGAGAAATGTAGACAGCTCACTTTTACCTAAGGCTTGTGCTGAACGTATTGTTTAGAAGAATAATGGAAACTTCACAATTAAGTAACTCAGCTCAGAGTATGAAACTCCACCAAAACCGTCCACCTGAGCTACAAATCACTGTGTGGTATATTATCTATTTATTAGGCTATTTGACATTGTTTTGGTTGATAAACTGAGATTTGTATGTAGGAATAGTGATTTAAATAGGAAGATAATTCTTTATCAGAGTGCGATGAAATTGTAACTCATATTTCATATAATCGAGGGTTTCTAGGGTAGTTCAAATGCTTCTGCCATCAAGTTTTTTTTAACCAGAAAATCAGTCGTTTATGTATTTCGTTGTTTCTCACTTATTAAATTGAC